CACAGCACACAGTGACATGTGTTCCCTGCTTTTAACCCATCCTAGCACCAGGAGTCTAGTATTAGGAGCAGTGGGCAGCTATTGTACAGTGCCCGGGGAGCAATGGGAGTGAGGGGGGAAGGGGGAGGTCCGGTGCCTTGCTCAAGGGCACCACGGCAGGGCAGTAGGTGAACTGGGACCTCTCCAAGTAGCAGTCCACAGTCCATATTTAGGTCTGGTCGGGGACTTGAACCGACGACCCTACGGCTCACAGTCCAAGCCCCTACTGACTGAGCCACTGCCGGACATATCATTATATGATTTAAAAATGCCACAGTTTGATTGTTTCTGCTATTAAATGTGAGAATAGGATGCTTTTCTTTGTTAATGCAAAACTAAATTGAATATGTTTGGATTTCGGACAGTTGGTCGGAAAGAAATTCAATTTTGAAGACACCATCTGCATCTAGGGCAGTGACCATCAACTGGCGGCCCGCGGGCCACATCCGGCCCGCCAGACATTCTCATCCGGCCCTGGCGGAGTGGTTAGTGCGTTCGCCCCCCACTCATTTTATTTTTTTACAACGTCTCGTGAGTAATGTGCAGTACCGGAGTCCAACAGAGAAGCAGCAGCTCCCCCTGAAAGTGTGTCTTGGATTAATTTTGGCCCTTGGACAAATGTAGTTGGTGATCCCTGATCTAGGGCTTTGGAGACTTTTGGCGGGCATTTCTCACTCATACTGGACATTCTCTGATATTAAAACAACCAAATAATGGAAATATTGAAAGTCAATCCCTATTGGGTTCACCAACACTGAAATTGTAAGCAAAAAGAACAACATAGCCCTTTATCTGACTCCAAGTTTCTGATGAAAACCACTTCGTAAACCAGACCAAACAGAAAAATCCTGCTTCTATGATCTGCACCAGGTCAAAGTCATGTCAAATCTGTCTGCCTAAAATATGTACACAATAGCCCAGACTACTCAGGAGGAAACTCCAGCAGTGTGAAGCTATGAATGGAAATGTGCGGTGTGGACACAACAACGCAGACACCTGATATCCCCCTGGAGCTGTCTGAGCATTAGGAACAGTCGGTCAGAAAAGACACATATCTCATGGTTCTTCTGACATGCCAATGCTTAGTTAGGTGGGTTGTGGGTTTGGAGCAATAAACCACCAGACAGTTTTCCAGTCAAGGCTGTCATTTTAAACGTGTGCCACACTTAGCCAAATGGGTGAGAATCCACCCTATGATCTGTGGAAGGAACAAGACGAGCAGAGGATAATCAGACACCGTTTGACTTCTCAAGAGACTTTGAAGAAGGGAAAAAACAATTCTTGTCAAGTCCAGTTTCTTCATGAGAGTTGTGTACAAACAGTGGCGCATCCTAGTGTCCGTCTAATTTCAGTTATGAGATGTCTAAAGGCCTTCAGAAGTGGACCAGTTTTTCTTTTTGTGCAGGAAGCATTCCTCTCTAATGACAGGGGAAGTTACAAGAAGGTTCATACAAATACTACAGCATGAAAACAAACTTTAATTTAGGCTTCTTATTAAGGCGGGCTGGCCATAAAGCTGTGATCTTCGACACAACATCTGTGACCGCAATGCTTTCTGAGACACCCGCTAGACGTGAGACACGAAAATGCCCAACCTCGGCCTGATGAAATATAGGCAGCCTGGGAGTTCAGCAATAAAGGCAGATCTGATGTGATTACATGACAAGGATGTTGTATTGTGAGGCAGAATGTTTTGTTGTGGGTGAAAAGTTCATGAGAAAATGTGTGTTTTTTGCATTTGGTTTGAATTGTTTGATCAAAGCTACTATAAGTCAGAATGAGAATTGAATATGTGGCCGCATTACAGAACACAGGCACACCCTGAGCAATAAACAGCAGCACGTTAGGGTTGGGTCTTTTCCTACATTCTGATTATAGAGTGGTGCAGTGATTACGAGCTTTTGTAGACCTGGAAGTTAGCATCGCAAGAGTTCCCCCGACAAAAAGCAATGGGATTTTTCCATTTGATTTTGGAAAATTGCAGCAAATAAGACCTGTCGCAAACACACATTAATGATATTTACATGTTTTGTTCAGCAGGATTATCTCCACATATTAACACTACTTGCATTTAGCTAACGTTACACTCTAAAGTAACTACAGCACGGTCGCATAACTTCAAATTTCCACCGCTAAGCTAAAGGTGGCTAATGTTAGCGTGATAAACTCAGTCTAATTTAGTCCCTTGTTAGCAATTGCTATTTTAAGAAGTGTTAAAGCTGCAGACATTCACCAGTGGGATATTTACTAACGTATTTTATGTCGTAGAACAAAATGTCCAAATCTCGTAAGCTTGCATCAACCACATACCTTATTTCAGGCTAACTAAAAAGTGCTTAAATGCTAACTTTTTTCTCAGGTTTGACGACTCATTCCTGCACATTATACCCCAAAAGCAGATACAACAGCAATCTGAGCTTCTAGCCAGATGCAAAACTGACTTCAACTGGTAACTTCATACAGATCATTTGAAAAAACCCTATGTGGGCAACAAATTAAGATATTGTAATTAAATGTCAAATTGTTGTTGTCAGCGACATTCAACTCTTTCAAGGGAAGTTTTACACGCCTTGACTTTTCTCAGAAAGATATGAGGACAAACTTGTTAATCCCTCTTTCAAAAATACACCAGTAAAATCCAAATTTGCATGAGGTCAGTAATGGCGCAGTTCCACTACAGCGCGGAGCTCGCTTTAAGCGTGCCGTGTCGTGCCGTACCTGTTTTTGGTTGCGCTTCCACTAGGCCTAGTTACGGCCCGGCCCGGCCCGGGGCCACTTTTTCACCTCTTTTCTGGCCCGACAAAATTGTGGTTCTATCGGGGCCAACAAACAGGGCTGAGTCGGGCTGAGTATGCTAAACTAGAGAGAGGAGCGCTGGCAAGAGGGCTAGAACTACAACAAGATGGACATATTTGACCGTGATTTAATTGTAATACACGTTTCAAAAATGATGCCGAAGTAACAACATACTGATACCGGTTAGTAAAAACCATGAATTAATGCTTTGTCAAGTCTGCAGACAGACGGCAGGCGAAAAACCTTTTAAAATTTGTGTTTTTCTAGATGGAGATTGGCTAAGCTAACGCAGTATATGCTCCGACCGTCCACACTCACAACAACGGCCTATACAGACATAAATAAAGCAGCGACTGTACTCACCATGACACAGGCAGTCTGTGGTTTGTACTTGTTTAACTTTTGTCGAGTTTCTGAACATATATAAGGAGCTGTGAGCTCTGAGTGCTAACAGCTAACGGCTATGTTGTGTTTTCTGGAGTTCTCTGAAGATGACGTCACGGCTCCGCCTACACTGCGTTACTATAGTAACTACCCCAGTTCCTAAACTGTAATGGAAGCGCAGCATGAAGTGAGTCGGCCCTGTTAAGGCCCAACGCGGCCAAGCCGTACCGAGCCGTACCGAGCGTGGCCGAGGCCGACCGTGTAGTGGAACTGCGGCATTAGTTTCTTCTGCTGGAGGGAGTAGTTCAGCAGGGTTCATCTCTTCACCTGCTTCTCAGTAACACACTCCTCCTTTCTGCTCACACTGAATTATTCAAAAGGAGAGGAGGATACAGTATGACTTCTAGGTCATTACAACAAAAAAAGAGACTGCCTTAAAGTTTGCACATGGGAGGGCTAAGCGTGAATTATTGATCAGTTTTAACTTGCTGCCTAAACATATTTGTACCCTAAAAGAAGGCTGGATGACAAACTAAATGTATTGTATTGAATAACTGGGAATCTTTCCTGAAATCCAAGTTTCCTATTAATAATACAGTCTGAATGCGGAGATGAATTATGTAAACTAAGATAACTCAGTGACTTTGAGCCAAATGATTGAACATTCATGCGGCTATTCGGTAGCAATCTGAGTAAGATATAGTGTTTTAGATGCCCACAATTGTGTCATTTCAATTGAATTATGGGTGAAAAAGCAAATATTTCTAGGTTTTGTGAAAAAAATGTTCATGTTTCTCCTGTGCCCCCCAGTCAAATCTTATCTGATCTTCCCAGGGAGCATTGCACATAAAGCACCACCCTGGTTCAAAGGTTATCTGATGCTACCCTGACACCATGCTGCAAGTTTTCTTAGGTTGACTTTAATCTCCAGGATGTATGTGTCAGCTCCATGCCTCCACCAGTCAGCTGGAGCAGTTTCCCTCCCCATCCTGCAGGGCCTCAGGCAGCCATGCAACTTTTCTCCAGCTTCTTCTTTGGAAAATGATGCTTTTAATCCAAACTATATTCCAGAACAACTTGTGAAAATGGCCTTTCTTCTTGCTTTTCCTCCTCTTGCATGTGAAGCATCATTGATTACATTAACTCACATGCTTTTTTCTTGCAGCTAACCCTCTCTTCCACTATATTTGGCTCATTACAAGTCGAACAAAGAGGAATTTTAAAAGTCTTTCCTCATAGACACGTAGGAGCAAAGAGGATACTAAAGCTGATAGGACTTTCCTGTTTTCTAATCAGGCTCCAAAGCTCTGAACCGACCCCTGAACGCATCACTGCAGCCCTACTTTTGCAGGCTAACTTGCTAGTAGGCTAATCTCTCCTGGCAACTTTCAGAGGCATGAACTCCAGTCTTACAACTAAGTCTACAAGCATGCATGTGTGTGTTAAAACATCCTTTTGAATGCTTTTAAGCTGCAACAAACCGCGAAATACTTCGTTCATACCACAGTTAGAATCCCAGAGGAACTTTTGTGGGTTTACAAACACAAGGACCACAATGGCGGTGCGCCTTTCTTGGAAAACCGAGCGAATTACACCATCATGCAGAGAATATGTGCTCCAAAACTGAACAGAAGTGCATAAAACAAGAGAAACAGGCAACCCGTTTCCCTCTTGTTTGTATTTATTTCCAAGTTAGCGCCATATTGAGTGCGCGTGCAGAGCGTAGCAACATTGTTTCCAGGAAAACAAAAGCAGCAACGGAAACAAATACCGTTTCTTACCTTAGCGATGGCCTTCTTGTATCTCATGACAGCCTGCTGGATGAGTGTGTGCACTTTAATATTCCCATCTCCACACGGCACCACCACCCGGGTCCTGCCAAAACAAACCGTGACTTTCATGGCTTTAGTATCCGAGATCTTGGGAGTAAAACCGAGAAGAGGAGGACGAGGAGCAGGAGAAGGAGGAATCCGAGTGGAGATCAAAAAGGAGCATGGGTTTGTTTAGTGTCGGTTCGGCTGTATTCCTTCAGAGAAGCGAGGACTAAAGGTCTTTCCGCTTCTCCCCGCCGGACGACATTGTTTTCTGTGTTTTTTCAGACCACCTGTTTAGCTTCCCTCACTCCTTCCCTCTCTCGCTCCCAATCCCTCTCTCTCTCCCTCTGTGCTCGGTCATGTGCTGCGTTCAGGTGCGCTCGGGAAATGTTGGGAAACCAGAGATGAACGTCCAACATGAATGACAAAGGGCAAGAAAATCACAATACCTATATTCGTCCCACAGAGGGGAAATGTTCATCTGTTACAGAAATTAAAGAGCCAAAGATAACTATAGATGTATACTAATTAAGAAGCATACATAAAAACGTTAAAGAGAAATGTATAAATTACACAATTTAGAAGATACACATCCAGTACCTTAACAGTTTTGAGATATAGCAGCCAGGTGATTCAAGATTGTCATATGCACAAAGAGTGTAGCTCCTCCACAGGGACGTGCACAGACATTTTGGGGGGCGGGAGCTCAAGTGAGAAAAAAGGCACTTCCCATAATCATTTATAAAAATTAAAATGTTTAACAAAAAGTTAAATATAGCACATCTCTGACTTACTGACCAATTTATTTGTAATACCCTCACACTCAGGCAATTGTGGCCTTCTTCAGTATTCACTACGCACAAGAGCAGACAACAAACTAGTACAATTAATAGTTATTAAATGAGCAGCCAACAATCAAAATTATGAAGTTACTGTTAAAGGTGGGGTAGGTAAGTTTGAGAAACCGGCTTGAGATACACTTTTTGTTATATTCCATGGAATGCTCTTAACATCCCGAAAGCAATGAATATCTTAAGTGCTTTGACAAAAAATCCATTAAAAAATGTAATCTGTGGAAGCCGTAATACTGTAAAAAGCACGACCAATCATCTGAGCCGGCCCGGCTAAAATAACTGGATGGCCTACCTGCCTGTCAGCCTTCCATCTGTGCACAAACTTATCTCGTGCCCTCATTGGTCATGTGCGCGTTCGTGTGTGTTGGAGGAGGGGCTCTGTAAGGAAGTGGCAGATTTTTTCCGGCTGTGTATTTTAAAATTTTAGCGCACTCGAGCTGGTTTCTCCAAAATTACCTACCCCACCTTTAAAAGGCAGGACATTACAAAATACGAAATACAAAATAAAAAGTGGAGCCTCGCAGCAGCGAAACCGTGCCGCGCCACACTAATTGCGCCGCATAAGCGCATAGGCCGCATTTTCGGCTCAGTTGAGGCACCATCCGCAAGATGAGGCCCCCTCATCAAGGTGAGGCCCAGTCTGCATGATCCGAGGGACGGCCCTGGATGTATGCAAGTGAAACAATAACAAAAGCATAATATATGTATTTATTTATTTGTTTATTTATTCGACACATGGCAGTTATTTTAAAACAAAACATATACACGTATACTGATTTTTTTTTATAGCGCAGTGTGGAAAGGAGCAGGGAGAATCTTATTTTACCTGCTCCTTCTTAAAAATAAAAATAACCATAAAAAAAGTTAAATATAAGCAACATTCTTTCAGCCTCAGTTGCTTACAAATACTGAAACATAAAACCAGAATATAATGATTAACGTGACTTAAAAACCTTCTTGCTAAGGAAGAAAATCACTTCTGAGGCTTCCAACTTTCGAAGCTGCGGTTTACGAGCGGTCCCTGAAGGCTTCAGAGGAGCATTGGAGGCCCCAGCTGCAGTTTGGCCCCCCGCTGTGGTCAGCATGGGGAGTGTTTGGCGCGCGGAGAGGCACATCTCACACTCACAGTGGCTAAAGTTGTATTAAGAGCATTACAGTGATTACATACGTGATTATAACGCATTCAGATTACAGCATTCAGACCTGCTGTCCTCACAGGATGGGAGGGAAATACAAGAAGACTTTCAACAGTAACCAACTTTATTTAACTGGAATGAATTAGTGTTATAGTTTGAGTTTAGATTTAAGGTTAGAGTCATGAATCTAATGATGATATAGCTATTATCAACATATTTCCTTCATTTGCAAAAATATCTTAATACACTACTATATATATTGTAATGTAACATAATATATTGTAGTAAAATGTGTGCATTTTAACATTAACTTCATATCTTAAAGGTGGGGAAGGTAAATTTGAGAAACCGGCTCGAGATTGCTAGAATTTGAAAATACACAACCGGAGAAAATCTGCCACTTCCTTCCAGAGCCCCTCCTCCAACACACACGAACGCGCACATGACCAATGAGGGCACGAGATAAGTTTGTGCACAGATGGAAGGCTGACAGGCAGGTAGGCCATCCAGTTATTTTAGCCGGGCCGGCTCAGATGATTGGTCGTGCTTTTTACAGTACTACAAAAAATGTCATCTGTGGAAGATGACATTTTTTGCATTCCATGGAATATAACAAAAAGTGTATCTCGAGCCGGTTTCTCAAACTTACCTCCCCCACCTTTAATATAAATATCTTACTGTTTATTTATTTTTATTTCTTTACATGGGGCAACTTCAAAGTCCCATTTTCAAGTATTCAGATTTTTTTAAATAACTTTTTATATATTTTATTTCTGCCTCTAATGATACATCATCCCTTGTTAAAAGCCACAGGTCTTTTGGTGCACCGGCTCCTTTCTTATTTTACTCCACCGTTACACCCAAGAAACCCCAGAATGAATGGAGAAAACGACCAGATAAACCCCAGAATAAATGGCAAAACTAGCCCAAAAAAACCCAGAACTAATGGGGAAATACTCCTACAGGTCTGAAACCGAACCAAAGCCTCAGATGAAAAGCAGTTCAGATTCTTCAGAGCTTTTAGGAACAGCTGCATCGCACATGGATGGATTTATAAAACTGAACACGTCGGCACCAGGTTACTGTGAGAAAATATCCCAATGAGACACTGGATTATATTTCATATTTGCTCCGGCTCTTTCAATCAAAACCCAAAAAGACAGACACACATAACAGTTAGATGTCTCTGCTCGGTGTCCTGATTGAAAAGGGGGTTATAGTACCCAGTGGTTAAATGTAACTGAGTATATTTGCTCAAGTACTTAGTTAGTATTCTGACATACTTTAACTTGAATCCAGTATTTCCATGTTATGCATATACTTCTACTCCACTATATTTTGGAGGCAAATGTTGTTCTACATTCATTCAGTCATCGTTACTTTTACATATACATGATATACAACTTATCTAACCAGTGTTTTACACAGTTAATTGTTAAAAAATGGTCTAAACATTGACAAACTACAACATAAAAAATATGTGACATGTTGAATATACTATATGATGATATAATACTGTAGAAAAAAAGCAGGTATGCAGCCAAGTACTTTTACTTTTGAGGTACATTTTTCTCATTATGCTTATATACTTGTACTGAAGATTTTCAATTCTTCACTCAATTCAGGACTTTTACTTGTGTATTTTAAGACAATATATAAGCAAAGGATCTGAGGACCCTTTCCATCCCTGAAAGTGCCCATAAAGCCAAAATGAGCTCAACGCAAGGTTTTAATGAGAACATGAAAGAGAGGAGAGCTCAAGTATGTGGAAAGTGTGTGTGTGTGTGTGTGTGTGTGTGTGTGTGTGTGTGTGTGTGTGTGTGTGTGTGTGTGTGTGTGTGTGTGTGTGTGTGTGTGTGGGGGGGGGGGGGTTAACATGAGGACTGGTTGAAAGGGGGAATGCAGATGGGAGGCTATTTTAACTCTTCACACAGCTGGAGCTCACACAACACCAACCTTCAAGCGGTCATAATGCTCACACTGACTCAAGTCTGCAGAAGTTCTAGGAGAAGAAGAAGAAAAAGAAGAAGCAGAAGAAGACTTTTTGACTTTTGCAAAAACACTTTTTTACATATTTAACAATTGTACATATTTTTCAAATAAAGTGCTTCATTGTGTAAATAATCGATTTACTAAAAAACGATCTAATAAAAACTTGTGCAAAGTACAATTTGTCAATAGGCGCTTTCACACCAAGTACTTTGCCGTACTTAGTTCCCAGTACTTAGTTCACCGAAACACTTTAGTTCCCGGAACTAAAGAGACGATCGCGTTCACACCAAGCGGCAAACTCCTTAATGATTATTAATTGGTGAGTGAATTGTTTTATAACGCGACCCTTTTATTTATATAGGTCTTAACCAGTGGCGGCCGGTGGTCTTTTTTTTTGGTGGGGCTCTTGACGTACCGTAAGTGACCTACCCGGGGGGTTTCCCCCCGGAAATCTTTTTAGAGAAATGACCCCTTAAATGATGACTTCTGGTGATGTTAGAGGGGGGGGGGGGAAGGAGAAATCGAGGCTTAAAAATATGAGAAGACTGATCAATACCTCCATAATCTTCAGTGTGGAAAATATTATTTATCAACCTGAACATCTACTACTTTACCAGGAATTTGTGTTCTCAGAACTGGTCTGTTTTTTTCTTTCTTAAAACTGTTCATGTTTTATGAACCAACACCTTCACCAAGTAGCTTTACAGTGAACTGCATGTGAGATATAAAATTAATAGCATCTTTTCAGTAGCATTAATTATAAATATTTAAGTGGTTCAATACAAGTCACTACAGCATTTCAAACTGAACTGTGAATAAATGCAATTTAAAAAAAAATAACCACAGCACAAAATGTCATAAATTGTGTTTTTTCTTTGTTTCTCTGAGGATTATTTACAAACAGGCTTATTTACATATAGCAATAACTCAGAAATGAAAAAGCTACATCGTCTAACACGAACAACCAGTTAGCATAATGATAATATATGTGTTATGTACAATGTAACTGGCAAGGCTAGAGCAAGAAAGAACATAAAGTTTGCAAAAGGTTTAAATAACTTCAAGTATCTGTCTTCAGATTACGTGGAGGTTTTAGTCCGATGGGAAGCAGATTTTAAGCGACACCGAAGATAAACCAAAAATGTGGTGGAGCTGCAAACCGTGTAGTGTTGCTGGGACAGAACAGGAGCTATAACCGTTGGAAAATACATCACAGACAATGCAACAAACGTGGAGACAGAACAATCACTTCTGTGATAAATGCCCACTTATTAATAAACTTCTAACAACCATGGGAAACCTCCTCTCTACATATAAAGTGATATCCAAGCATGGGAAACAAAAGACA